TTATTTATCACCCTACATCCTAGTACATCCCTACAACTTATTTTTTATATTCATATTCTACAGTATTTTATCTATAGCACACCTGTACATACAATTTATTCTTTTTTTGTGGTTTATTTATATTTATGTATGTGTATTTTATTCACATCTTATTTTTATTATCTGTGTGTTGTTGTTGTCTCTGTGTATTGGAAGCTTGTGACACTAAAACAAATTCCTTGTATGTGCAAACATACTTATATGTTATACTTATATACTTATATGGCAATAAAGCTCTTTCTGACTTCTGACTTCTCAAAATCACCTACAAAAAACTAATCAAGGTCTTCAGGATTAATTCAAACTTACCAACAGGAGAGTTTGATCAAGATTGGAGCTAAACTCTGCAGGAAAGTGGATTTTGAAGGCCAGAGTTGAGAACCTCTCCCCTATACTATAGTACCTCTCTAAGATAAGTTTAGGTTAACAACCACTTTATTAATCCCACAGGGGGCAATTAAAATAGGGCTTGAAACAACAGACATACAAACACTTACCCATAAAAAAAAACCTTAACCCATATTACAAAAGTACTGCAAACATGGAGATTGTAATATGCTTTAAAATAAATGCATTCATGTAAATACCTATAAATAATAAATAACACATTAAGAATCATTTAAAAATTTCAAATTACAATGACGAATGGCCTCAGGAAAAGTAAACTTATAATGGTTAGTGGTACATTTCAAACTTCTAAGCCGCATACCCAACGACATTATTTCAAAGTGCATATTCAAGGGGTGCTTATTGCCCATTATACTCCAAGCTTTCCTTACCACTTGCTGCTAATAAAACTCAGATAAACTCTGCAGCGGCATGCTGGTAATTTTTTAACAGATTCTAACTACACTTTGCAATTGTTTCTTACTCTTTAGAGGACGTGATGGAAACCAACAAAGAAACAAGAAACTCTAAATGCTCTCAATAAAGGTGCTATAAAAAGTTTGATATGAAAGTAGTTGATTTATATTCAGAAATATGTATGATGAAATGAAATTATTTAGTAGGTCTCAAATGAAAGCAAAAATATTCAATAAAATTTCTATTCTTTCTGCATATTATTGTACTCGTGCTCATCACAAAGTTTGTCAAATAGTTGTTTAGAAACTAAAATAAAAAAGTAGAAAAAATGTTCATGGGACCTCCAGCAAATGATTCTCAAATATCTCAAAACAGGTGTCATAATATGATGAAATCATGAAAACTTCCTATCTTAAGTTAAAATTATTGATGGATTAAGTGTGTTTACTGTAAACTGTTACCTCAGTTTGTCCAGTTTACAGTGAGGATTCCCTAGTCCGGCACAGAGCTTCTTCACTCCTGAATTACCTAATTTATTCTTAGACACACACAGTTCTCTCAAGTGTGACGGGTTTGATCTCAGAGCTGAAGCTATAGCAGCACAACCTTCATCTGTGACACCACAATACCTAAACCTGCAAAAAACAATGACACACAAATCAGTTCCAAAGAGTATGTCTGAACTCTCTCCCATTAATTCCTGTCCACAGACTCTCAGTCTTGAACAAACATGATTCATTCACTTCATGAGTGTAAACAGTCTTTACAGCTCCTTGATATAACTAGGGCTGTGAATCTTTGGGTAGACACTGAATTGATTCGATTCATGATTCATAGGTTTTTGATTCAATTCAAGAACAATTTTTGCAAATTCAGAATGATTCAATTCGAGACGATTCACAATTAAATTCAATGCGATTTGATTAACAATTTGATTCTGCATTCTTTAAGTAGATTCACAGGATTATTTAGCTGCCATTCATTACCATTCATATGCAGCAGCCATTCAGTACCACCCAAGCAGCAGCCTAGCAATGCACTAACAACCCAGAACACCCTAGAAACTATATCAACACTTTGTGGTGATGGACATTTGGTAAAGTAAATCTAAATCTCTAGGTATTAACTTCCTTTTATGATACTTACTCTGCTGATCTGGATTCTTTAATTACAGGTAAGAGTTTCAAAAGAACCTCATCTGTTGCATTATGTGGGCCGATGAAATTAATCAGATTAAACACATCCATCTTCTGCTCTGAGGTCAGCAGAACAAAAACTAAAGCAGACCACTGGGAAGAAGAGAGTCTGGCTTCTCTTATTTTACCAGATTTAAGATACTGTTGAATTTTCTGCACAAGGGAATGGTCACCCAGTTCATTCAAACAGTGGAACAAATTGATGGATTTCTCTGGAGAAGAATTGTCACTTATCTTCTTCCTAATGTACTTAACTATTTCCTGTTCACTGTAAGGGCTTCTGCCTGTATGCGCCAGTAGGCTCTGTAAGAGAGCCTGATTGCACTCCAGTGAGAGTCCTAAAAGGAAACGGAGTAAAAGATCCAGATGTCCATTTTGACTTTCTAAAGCCTCATCCACAGCTCTCTGATGCAGATCTGATAATGAAACCACTTTTTTATTGGCTCCTTGAGTTGTTTCAGTAATTTGGTCAAAGACATTTATGTTGAGCTTTGTAAAGGAGAGATGCACATATAGAGCTGCTAGATGTTCCTGAATGCTCAGATGAATGAAGCAATACACTTTCCCCACGTACAGCCCAAACTCTTCTCTGAAAATCTGAGTGCACAATCCTGAGTACACTGATGCTTCTGTCACATCAATGCCACACTCTCTCAGGTCTTCCTCATAGAAGATCAGGTTTCCTTTCACAAGCTGCTGAAAAGCAACTTTACCCAGTTTGAGGATCATGTCTTCATCTGTCACCTTCTTCTCATAGTCCTTCTGATGTTTGATGTTGGTCTGAAGGATCAGGAAGTGTGTGTACATTTGAGTGAGAGTAGAACAGCGGCTGAGATCCAGCAGAAGACTGGGATGTGGCACATGATGAAGAGGCTCCTTGATGACTTCAGGTGTGAGATGATCCTGTCGGCCAGACTCTGATCACTGATTCTCTTCCTGAAGTATTCCTCCTTCTGTGGCTCATTGAAGCCTCGTACCTCTGTCACTCGATGGACACACTCAGAGGGGACGAGATCAGCTGCTGCTGGTCTGGAGGTGATCCAGATGAGAGCAGAGGGAAGCAGATTCCCCACAATGAGGTTCATCAGCAGCACGTCCACTGAGGCTGATTCAGATATATTACACAACCTCACAGTGCTTTGAAAGTCCAGAGACAGACGACACTCGTCCAGACCATCAAAGATGAACAGCATTCTATATTCACCACTGGATATTTCCATTTCCTTTGTTTCAGGGAAAAAGACATGAAGAAGATCTGAAAGACTGAGTGTT